TGCTGAGGAAAAAATGCACCTTGCGCCGGCAGTTCAGTTGAGGCTGTATATTTGAGTAAAGAAAAATACGGTCGCAGAAAAAAAAATTAAGCTTCCTAAGAAAGCCTTAGATTCAGTGAAGCTTTCGGAGGCATGCTATATACTCCTGGATTTTTCCGTTTTTCTAGATTTCTGATTAAAGGGCAAAAAAGAAAAGGGGGGGGGGGGGGGGAGCTAGCGTTGCTTCCCGTTTCGTTTTGTTCATTTTCTCCTCGGACACGCAACCAACAAGAAACAAAAAAAAAAGGGGGGGGGGGGGGGGAGAAGACAAATCGTGAGTTAACTTTTAGTTAGTTTGCCAACCGCGCTGGCTTTTTCTGCTATGGGCAGGACACGTTAATCCGCCTTATATTTGCGTTGTTCGCACAAAGCGGCAAGTCCTTATAGTATTAGCCCCGAGAAGTTCGCGTGGCGCCCCCTTACGGCGAACCGGGGTGACGTCACGGCGAGGAGAGAATTTTTCCCCGACTCGGCCCGCTCGCCTTGTGGAGGCTGTGACGACGCTAGCTGACGGCGCGCTCGTTTCTATTTAATTTTTTTGGCGTGTTTTTCTTAGGAAGTGTAAATTTTTATTTGAACCTTTATTGAGGTACGGCCTGCAGCTACAGGCGAAGCTTCAACAAACATTTTAAACATGGTTGACAGGGCAGGCAACGCATGAATCACAGCTGGTATATGAAAATAAAGAAATATGGCCACAATTGCAGGAGCGTCACTATAGATTTACATCTCGCACAATAAATGCTGCTGATGGTCTGAATAAATTGGGAGGTTATGTAACTATTTTTTTTTTATCTCTGTTTTTAAACAAGATCGCCGAAGCAGAAAAGCTGCATGCTGCTCGAGCAACATGTTAAATACAGTCTGGGCTATCAAGAAAAAATCACAAGTAAGACAGCCCAAGTGCAGGGGCAAAGTAAAAAAAACAACAAAAAAAAACGGGGAACATTTATTATATACAGTGCTTGCATTTGACCTTTGATGGATTCGGATAGTATTTCAATGGACTACACGGGTGGTATTTGTGGACTTGTTTATATCAACCCTCAAGTAATGTATAAAAAACGTAAGTGAAGGTGTCTAGCTCGTTATTAGCCCCTTAAGCCCTAAAATTGAGATTTTACTTAAATCGAATTGTCCTGAAGTTAAAATACCAGTCGCTTTTCTCACGCAGACTATCGCCCTTCACAGGTTCCACATTTTTTGCTACTAGTGCTGCATCTTCCACTGGACAGACGTTCGAATGCTTGCTTTTACTCCTGTTTTCCTCTGTTGTCAGAGAGTCCAGCTGTAGGGAGTTTGGAGGCTGAGGAAGCTTTTGGGGACCTGCAGCAGTGTCTCTTTTAATTGGAAATAACAATTCAGACTAAACGGTGTATCTTCGGAATAGGCTGGAATAAAGAATGTCAGGAAAAAGCACAAGCATTCCACATTACGGAAATATTGCCGTGCATAGTTTGGCAGTTAATACATATCATACAGAGAACTGGGGGCAATTCGGCCGTTTTTGCTGCTACCATACAAACTAATTTCCAGTAAGTGTGCAGCTTCTAAGAAATATGCCTGCATACGTGTATAAACTATATAATTAATTCACGAAGAAGCCACATTTATGTAAAACAACCCTGTTCCACGAGCACTTCAAAGAAAACATCTGCGAACCAGCGCATGCAGAGTGGCACCGCAGAGTCAGGGTCGAGAGCTAATTTGCCGACCACCCAAAGGCGCATGATATAAATGCCACTTCAAATGCATTGAAAGCGGGATGTAATATTGTCTTAAATCATGAACGTGCAAGGAACAGAATTCCAGCGTCTCAAACGCTTGCGCCATCGCTTCACTGACCTCTCGCAAGATTGCCTTGTGTCGTGTGGACGGACGGGGAGGCTCATCGGCGGAATTGCCTCCGCCGATAGCTTTCGGGATTTGTAACGCAATTTTAAAGGTAAAAGGGACAAGCAGGCTTATAAAATGTACGGAAGCACGTCAATATCGGCCTAACTCAACTTCTTGCACACCAGGTAAACGAAGTGCAGCTCCATGAAGAGCTTGCGGCACACAACGCCAAACCAGGAAACCGGTGCTGGGAGGCGAGCCGATGCGAGATCGCGGAGCGGAGTACTCGCCCTGACGTCACAGTACACCTCACCCAATCCTGGCGCGGCGACCGCAGCGACGCTTGTGCTCGCTCTCGGGGCTAATAGGCTCCTTCACACTGCCCCATTTTTTTATGTTAAGTTACGTTACGAAATATTACGTTGAAGTTACTGGGACCTTTTTGCTTCATATTAAGCGAGGCTCCCAGTTCGGTGACTTAAACGTAACGAAACTTAACGTAAGAAAATGGCGCAGTGCGAATCAGCCTTAAATGTACTGTTTTATACTCTACGGTAAACCGTAGCAGTCGCTACGAGTCATCGCAGTCATTGTAACGCTGCGAACGTTTCATGTGACGACGCGCTCCACGCGACTCGGCATATCTCGCGAAACCACGTGACGCTCAGAAGGCATTAGATGAGCTGAGATCTGCTTGTAGGGTCCGCTGCAGTCCTTCGTATAGTGAAACGGAGTATAGCGGAAAGAAGGTCTGGCACCAACCAAAAAGAGAATTGTTTTAGTTTTTAAAAAAAGGAAATGTTGGACAGCCACTCAGTAAGTGCAAATCAAGATTTATTTTTATTATGATTCAGCTTCATATATTCGAGGGCTCTGTAGGCCGCCGTTTTCCCATTGAAAATATAGGAAAATTACAACTTTTGAAGGAGATACTGGTTAGTTTAAAAACTATGGCAGCTGGTTTGAACCGCTCGGAGAATGGGCGTTCGACGACGCGTAGTTTATTCTTGTGACAAGGGAACTTGTACTATCGGGGAAAAATGAAATGCGAAGAGGAGCGCGTGGCTCGCAGAACAGGCTGCGCCGCCTGGAAGTGAGCCTAGGAGCGAGGGTGTGAGGCCTACTCCGACGTGTTCACGCCCCTTCCTCTGCGCTCCCCAGTGGGGTAAAGGTGGGTGAGGAGGAGTGGCAAATCCCGTGCGCCGACATCCTGGGTCCCGAGTGAACGATCGCAAAAGAGAGCGACAGAACACGAGAGAAAGAAAGCAACGTTGCCATGGTAAACACGGAGAGTGAAAACTCTCAGCAATATAAACAGTGATAATTTAACGTTGTAAACTAAATTCTAAGCTATTCTAACGCTTATAAAAATCAATAAAGTCATTACGCTGCATAAACTTCCCTTCTGTCGAAATCTCGGAAATCTGGTGGTTGCGCAGTTTCGTATTCCTCAACCGCGCCCAGCCGCGCCCCACCAGCGAAGCCGGGTATATGGTTTAGTTTAGCGTTAACGCGAGGCCGTACATCTGCGCGCTATGCAAAAAGAAACCTTCGAAAAGAACGCGAGTATCTTTCCACCGGTAAATTCGTGGATTGTTGAAGTTCACGAAACTGCTCTGATGATGTAACCGTGTTTGGGACCCAGAGGGTCTGCCTGCATGGTCCGCCGCTTGCGGCAGCCAGAATGTATGGGAAAATGGCGGACCTTTTCCTCTAGATTTAGTATATGATCTCTATGGCGCTCCCCAAGCTTCAGCAGTGCGCCTCTTCGTGCGCTGAAAGCTATCACCGCTATCTTTGCTGGCTCAGCGCGTGCGGTGCAAAGAAGCTCGCCGCACTCGCCGAGCAGGCAAAGATAGCGGCGACAGCTTTCAGCGCACTAAGAGGTGCACTGCCGAAGCTGGGGGAGCGCCAATCGAGGGGCCTGAACACATCGAAGTAGGCCACGCACCCTCGCCCCTAGGTTCACTTCCTGGCGGCGCAGCCTGTACCGCGAGACACGCGCACCTCTGTTCGCATTTCATTTTTCCCCGATAGTACAAAGTTTCTTTTAACGGCTTTTTTTTTTTTTTTTTTTTTTTTTTTACAGCGGAGTTTAAGGTTTAGTTTCCCCAGGATTGTGTCCGGTACCAAAAAAAAATGTTGACAAAACACGCCGGTTGCAGCTGCTGCTTATAGATGGCGGTAGCTGTCCAGAGTGTTGTATTGCTCGGTTGCCTCCTTCCCGTCGTCACTCATAGATCGCGGCAACCTTTCCGGCCTCGACAACCAGACAACTGGTGGCTGCCGTCGCTCATAGATGGCGGCAACATTTCTTCGGAGGAAGAAGAGCGGGAACAGAACGAGCGGTGATGTGCGCAGCAGATCGAATGCTTCCGCAATTGCCGCGAGGCCGCTATCGCGTAACTATCGCGTAAGTTCCACAGCGTCGAGCGCTTAAGATTTTCTTGCGAAAGACGAGCAGATCAATCACCTGGAAAGCCACCGCCAAGAACAGAAGCTCTAGCTCCGCTGCTCTTCCTTCTTCACCAGTGGGGAAAGGCTGAAAGTTTTTGTGTTGTATTACTTTCCCTTTTTGCTGGCTAAATTACTTGAGTTTCTGCTTTCTATTTTTTCACTCTCTCTTGGCTCTTATATGCTTAGTTCGGTTGCGCGGCTTTTAAACCGTGTAGGTGGAAATTAAAAAAAAAATGTATGGTCATCTGCAGTTGTAGGGTCTCATTCAACTTCAGGTCCTAATGATATTTATAAAACTGGTGGTCGATCCAATTTATTGTTAATTTCTTGGTCCAAGAGAAGGTGGTATCAGAAATTGGGTATTATGATCTCCATGTGGCATGTTGTATGGTAATACTATGGTAAAACTATGGTAACTATGGTAAAACTTCTTAGTTGGAATGTTGAGAGCAGAAGTGTTTGCGCTGAGATGAGCATTGATGAAAGCAAGCAGCCGAAGTTCTAATAATTTTAATGAGGTTGACGAAAATTTGACGACCATGATTTCGTTCGACTTCATTGTTTCTTTCCGGATATTAGTTCGGGAGTAGACAAAATCCTTGACGAAGAGTACCACCAGATTAATTCCGACTTGTTCGACGCAACGGAAGCATGACAGTGAAATGTAGCAGGTGAAAACACATTGTGAAATACCTTGATTGTTTATTTCATATACACATTATCTTATTTTCATAAAGAGTCTAATTGCATTTATTGAGACATGAATTCCTTCGAGGCGGCTCTGAGAAGTGGATAGGGCTCTCCGCACTTTCCGGAAATGTCGTCCGTGTCGAGTGACATGATGGCGACGCCACCGAGGTTCTTGGATTTTGCAAAAACAGCCTAGAAAGAATAATATAATAAGCATATTTTTCTCACCAAAAGGAAATGAAGCAAGAATTATTAATTTTACGTACCTTTTCTTTCACGCTTTCAGCATCTTCAAAACTGACCCAGCTCTTGTTGTCTGTAGCATACGATTCCTTGAGGTCCGTGTTGTAGTTAACGGTCCACTTCTTCGCTCTCATGAATTCGCAGACCTGAAAAGATTCGACATAATTTAAAAATTAAGCCCCAGTGGCGACACGCGCAAATTAATTGAATGTTATTTTTCTATGTGATTCTAGCAATACTTCTGTGCTTTACAAAAGTTTATGCAGAGATCGAACACGGCCGCTAGAATGCTCTAAAGGCATGCTTTTTTGTCGCTCATTAATACTTTCCGCTTTTAGTAAACTATCGCAGATAAATGATTTATCTTATGCTTTGTAGCATTGCTTTTTTTATGTTGTCCTTGCCATCTTAGAGTAACTGTTGTTGAAATATTTTTTTTTATTATTCACTTACGCTGCACTACCCTCAAACCGAGGTCGCACTGGTCGTAAATGGTGGGACCCAGAAGTAACTGGAACTAATTTCTCGAGGGTAGGGTGTTGGTAGTACCAGTTTCCGCCGCTAGAAAAAGTAGCGGCACCCTCTTCGAGTCACTTTCCCGACCGTAATCATCTTCTAAAGTTCTAGCGGCATGTGGATCTATTTCCCGTATTTTGCAATGTCTCATTTGAATTACCTTCCACATTAACAAAACGAGTTCCTTTTATTACTTTTTCCATACGGGCAAACAGAAACATGTTACTCGGGGTGAGGTCCGTTGAATCAGGGGGGGGGGGGGGGGGTGTTGAAGATGCGGTGTCATGTTATTTTTGCTAATATATTGTTGCACTAATAGGGCAGCATGTACTGGGGCATTGTGGTGATGGAACCACCACTCCTACATTTCCTCAAATCTGGGTGTTTCTGCCATACCGAGTTACGCAGGCGTCAAAAAATTCCCAGGTAAAACACCTGAGTAACAGTTTCACCAGAAGGAACAAACTTGGAGTGAACAATACCCGAATGTTTCAATGTTTTCGTCAGTTGACGACGTGGAGGGTGCCCCTGAACGAGGTTGGACGTCGATCAATAATTTACAAACCTTGAACCGAGAAACCACTCGTAGACCTGAGATTTCTTAATCTTCCTTGTAAGCTGTCTCAAGTATTACAAAAGTTTCCTCCGCCGTTTTTCATAAAATAAAACAATATCACGGCCGCACGCTGTTTCATCAATCATACATTTTAAAAAAAGGAATGATTTTAAAGCGTTTGGAACAAAAATCACAACGTGTCGCTAGAACTTTAGTAGACAACGCCGGTAGGAAAATTGATTCGGAAGGCAAATTACTAATTACAAATGCAGCGCTAAACTTAGCGGAAAACTTTCTTCGCTAAATTTAGCGAAAAAAGTTCTCAGCTAAATTTAGCGGAAAAAGTTCGGCGCTAAATTTAAAGGGCAATTTATTCTGCTATATTTAGTGGGAAATTTGGCGAAACTCTCCCGCTAAATGGGAGGGGTCATGGAGAGGAGGAGGGAAGGGTATGGAGGAAGGGCATACCCTCACTCCGTATCCTCTCCTCCTCCCCCTCAAGAGCTGCGCTCTAATTCGGAATTACAGAGGACTGTCAACGTCTTTCACCTTTTAGGCCATTCTTAGCATCGGCGTTGTTCTTGGAGTTTCAGAACTATAAATTTCTGACGTTCTTTCACGACGATATGTGCGACAGTTTCTAAAAAACGGAGTATTGCAAAAAGCTCAGCCCCCGTACTGTGTTATGGCATCAGCATAAACAAACATGGCGGCGCCCATGGAAGAGAGAGACACTGGTCTTATGGCTAAATATTTTCTTTCATTGCCAGTGGGTAGGAGACTTTGGTCAAGCAACATTTTGACGTAGAACTACGTCTTCCTCTGCGCTTGGAAGGGGGTGCAAAGTTGCGAGTCGAGATCACGAAAACTTGGTCACAGAAGTGACGTCACTTCCGTGGCTTCAGGTAACGTTGGGTCCCGCAACGTTAATTTTTCCTCTAAATTTATCAGGGAAACTAAATTTGTAAGTGAGTTCGGTCAAGCAGCATTTTGACGTAGAGCAACATGTGTCTACGCGCTTTGAAGGGGGTGCGAAATTGCGCTTCGATATCACGAAAACTTGGCCACGCAAGTGAAGTCACTTCCGTACCGTCAAGTAACGTCGGGTCACGCGACGTCAATTTTTTTTTCTAAATTTAGCGGGAAACTAAATTTGTAGGTAAATTTGGTCAAGCAACATTTTGACGTAGAGCTACATCTTTCTCCGCGCTTGGAAAGGGCTGCAAAGTTGCGCTTCGATAGTACGAAACTTGGTCAAAGAAGTAACGCAACTTTCGTGCCGCCAGCTGGTAACGTTGGATCACGTGACGTCAATTTTCCCTCTAAATTTAGCAGGGAAACAAAATTTGTAGGTGAATTTGGTCAAAGTACATTTGGACGTATAGCTACATCTTTCTCCGCGCTTGGAAGGGGCTGCAAAGTTGCGCTTCGATAGTACGAAACTTGGTCACAGAAGTAACGCCACTTTCGTGCCGCCAGGTAACGTTGGGTCACGTGACGTTAATTTTTCCTCTAAATTTAGCAGGGAAACAAAATTTGTAGGTGAATTTAAGTACATTTGGACGTATAGCTACATCTTTCTCCGCGCTTGGAAAGGGCTGCAAAGCTGCGCTTCGATAGTACGAAACTTGGTCACAGAAGTAACTCCACTTTCGTGCCGTCAGGTAACGTTGGGTCACGTGACGTCAATTTTCTCTCTAAATTTAGCAGGGAAGCAAAATTTGTAGGTGAATTTGGTTAAAGTACATTTGGACGTATAGCTACATCTTTCTCCGCGCTTGGAAAGGGCTGCAAAGTTGCGCTTCGATAATACAAAACTTTGTCACAGAAGTAACGTCACTTTCGTGCCGTCAGGTAAAGTTGGGTCACGTGACGTCAATTTTCTCTCTAAATGTAGCGGGAAAACTAATCTTTAGGTGGATTCGGTGAAGCAACATTTTGACGTAGAACTACGTCTTTCTCCGCGCTTGGAAGGAGGTGGAAAGTTGCGCTTCGATATAAAAAAAGTCTTGGTCACGCAAGTGACGTCTCTTCCGTGCCGTCAGGTAACGTTGAGTCACATGACGTCAATTTTCTCTCTAAATTTAGCAGGGAAGCAAAATTTGTAGGTGAATTTGGTCAAAGTACATTTGGACGTAGAGCTACATCTTTCTCCGCGCTTGGAAGGGGCTGCAAAGTTGCGCTTCGATAGTACGAAACTTGGTCACAGAACTAACGTCACTTTCGTGCCGTCAGGTAAAGTTGGGTCACGTGACGTCAATTTTCCCTCTAAATTTAGCGGGAAAACTAAATCTTTAGGTGAATTCGGTGAAGCAACATTTTGACGTAGAACTACGTCTTTCTCCGCGCTTGGAAGAAGGTGGAAAGTTGCGCTTCGATATAAAAAAAAAAAAAGTCTTGGTCACGCAAGTGACGTCTCTTCCGTGCCGTCAGGTAACGTTGGGTCACGTGACGTCAATTTTCTCTCTAAATTTAGCAGGGAAGCAAAATTTGTAGGTGAATTCGGTCAAAGTGCATTTGGACGTATAGCTACATCTTTCTCCGCACTTAAAAGGGGCTGCAAAGTTGCGCTTCGATAGTACGAAACTTGGTCACAGAAGTAACGTCACTCTCGTGCCGTCAGGTAACGTTGGGTCACGTGACGTCAATTTTTCCTCTAAATTTAGCGGGGAGAACAAAATCTTTAGGTGAATTCGGTGAAGCAACATTTTGACGTAGAACTACGTCTTTCTCCGCGCTTGGAAGGAGGTGGAAAGTTGCGCTTCGATATAAAAAAAAAGTCTTGGTCACGCAAGTGACGTCTCTTCCGTGCCGTCAGGTAACGTCGGGTCACGTGACGTCAATTTTTCCTCTAAATTTAGCAGGGAAACTAAATTTGTAGGTGAATTTGGTCAAGCAACATTATGAGGTAGAGCTACATCTTTCTCCACGGAACTTGGTCACGGAAGTGACGTCACTTTCGTGCCGTCAGGTAATGTTGGGTCACGTGACATCAATTTTCCTTCTAAATATAGCGGGAAAACTAAATTTGTAGGTGAACTTGGTCAAGCAACATTTTGACGTAGAAGTTAGAACTACGTCTTTCTCCACGCTTGGAAGGTGGTGCAAAGTTGCACTTCGATATCAAAAAACCTGGTCACGCAAGGGACGTTTCTTCCGAGCCGTCAGGTAACGTTGGGTCACGTGACGTCAATTTTTCCTCTAAATTTAGCAGGGAAACTAAATTTGTAGGTGAATTTGGTCAAGCAATATTTTGACGTAGAACTTCGTCTGTCTCCGCGCTTGGAAGGTGGTGCAAAGTTGCGCTTCGATATTACGAAACTTGGTCACGGAAGTGACATCACTTTCGTGCCGTCAGGTAACGTTGGGTCACGTGACGTCAATTTTTCCTCTAAATTTAGCAGGGAAACTAAATTTGTAGGTGAATTTGGTCAAGCCACATTTTGACGTAGAGCAACATCTGTCTCCGCGCTTGGAAGGGGGTGCAAAGTTGCGCTTCGATATTACGAAACTTGGTCACGGAAGTGACATCACTTTCGTGCCGTCAGGTAACGCTGGGTCACGTGACGTCAATTTTTCCTCTAAATTTAGCAGGGAAACTAAATTTGTAGGTGAATTTGGTCAAGCAACATTTTGACGTAGAGCAACATCTGTCTCCGCGCTTGGAAGGGGGTGCAAAGTTGCACTTCGATATTACGAAACTTAGTCACGGAAGTGACATCACTTTCGTGCCGTCAGGTAACGTTGGGTCACGTGACGTCAATTTTTCCTTTAAATTTAGCAGGGAAACTAAATTTGTAGGTGAATTTGGTCAAGCAATATTTTGACGTAGAACTTCGTCCGTCTTCGCGCTTGGAAGGTGGTGCAAAGTTGCGCTTCGAAATCACAAAACTTGGTCACAGAAGTGACGTCACTTCCGTGCCGTCAGGTATACGTCGGGTCTTGTGACACCAATTCCCTCGCCACATTTTGCGGGGAAACTGAATTAGTGTATATATCACGTGGCGTCAGGTCACGTGACATTAAATTTTCCGATAAACTTTTGCGCGGAAAACAAATTGGTGTATATGGGTCAAGTGGCGTCAGGTTACGCGATATTAATATTCCAGTCAAATTTATCAGGAAAACGTGACTGTAGGTCGCGTGACGTCGGGTCACGTGACTTTGCCTCTATCCGAGCCATGGCCATTCACCTCTTGCGCACCCGCCATCGTCATGAGGCACGAGTTCGAGTTCATACCTCCAGCTGCCACAAACAACAGATATGGGATGAGTGGACAAGGCACGGCCTCTCTTATATCACCCCCCCCCCCCCCCCCATCGCACTTTTTGTGCCACTCACACGTAGTTTTACGGGACTTCATGCAGCATACTACGACTAGAAACCGAACAATCTGCTTTTTTTAAGTTTAAGGTTTATGTTTTTGCTGCTTGAGGACTGGATACCGACAACGTAAGAAACTCAGGGCGGGGCGAACCCCGAGCACCTTAGATTTGCTCCGCAGCCGGTCTATAGCGGTATTAGCTGACAAGGACGGCGAAGTACAAATCACGAAGCAAAGAAACATGGACTACATAAGCTCCGCCGTGCCTTTCTTCAGCTCTCCAAGACCATAGCCACTTTAAATCCGTGACATAAACAGAGCGCTCGAACTCGCCTCGTTGTAGCCCAAGGCCCCAGGAGTCTGTGTATACGGTCCCGGCTTTCCGGGCTGTCTGGAGGAGGACCCGAAGTCCGTGTCCTGCGGGTCCTCGAGGGTCCAGGAACGAGCGAGGGTCGTGATACCCAGGACGAGCTTCGTGGAATCCGCACCCAGGTCCAGGAGCGTCTTTACGCTCTCTGCCTGCATCGAAGTCGTTCTTTTAGTTCTCACGGCATGTACATTATACAAAGAACAATCCGCAAACATGGTCCGAGACATGGACATGGCCCTCTCACCTTGGTCTTACAAGGACTGTCTGCAAACGTGTTCGAAAATACGTGTAAAGCAAACATGCTTAGAATATGCTCGAGGTGTGTCCGTAGATATGTCTGTCATCATGTCCGTAGCGAAAACAGTGTCTATTGTACGACGCATGAGCAGTGGTACCGCGGGTTTCAGAGCTCGTGTCATAAGAGCAATCGTAACGTCATAGAAACGAGCGTGACCGTACGGAAGAATATGAGAAGGATTCTCAAGATTCGGATTACGCCTGTCTCCGTCTTCGACTCTAAAGCCGGGGTCCCGCCACTTGTGAACAGATATGTACGCGTCACGTCAAAAGATAAAAGTAACTAAATACCGTCACCGATTCTCATAAGGAACGCGTTACCTGACCTAAATGCAAGGAGTTACTTTTCTCGTTACTTTGACGATCCAATACACAACTGCTTTTGTTTTATGCTTTATTATTTTTGTTTTCTTTTTAAGGAGTCGGTGTACTTAGGCAGTAGCTGCCTCGAGAAGTTTTCTTCAGTTATGTTTCTTCGCTTCATTGAGAATACATCTCCGGCGACGCTGAAGAGTCGTCCTACCGACGCGCTCGAAGGAACGGCAGTGCTGTGCTTCAGGTAGAGCTGGTGAATCTGGAATTCTTCTCTCTCTTTTGTTCTCTCTGCTTCTAAAATTCTACGTTGACAATGTGTTTTGTGCCTTCCCGCGTTGGCAACCTCCAGGTTTACGTTCGGTCTGTACACGATTCTAGAAAGGTCAACCAACGGACCTTTGTCTGTTCGCTGGGTGAAGGACATTCCCAGGTGTAGAGTTCGAGTGATCTCTTCAGCGATAAACATTGATTTACTGTCATTGTGTTTAATAGTTATTTTTAGCTTTGCACATCTGCCTTTGTAGCGATCGACGCATACTTAGGTTGGAATTAAAACGAGGCTGTCTTAACGGTGTTGTACTCGTTACTCATCAAAGATAAGAAAATACAGTTACTCGTTACTTGGCCTTACAAGTAATTAAGTACGTTACTCGTTCCTTTTCTAAAAAAAAGTAACTAAATATGTTACTTGTTACCGATAAAAGTAACGAAGTAGACGTAACTCGTTACTAGTAACGCGTTACGTACATATCTGCCTATACATCATACAAAGGACAGTTTGGATACAGATTCGAACACAAGTCACCACGAGATTCGTGCTTCGAATGCAGCATGGCAACGAGATTCAAGGAGAAACTTGGCATGCGGCATTAGAGGCACGGATATCGCGGTGACCGATGTTTGCAGATTGTTTTTTGTATTATGCATAAACAACGTGACCCCGGCCTGAGAAAAGGGCTGTGCGAGTTCACTTTCCTGCACAACACAACACACCGAATCTCGGTGAACACTTCCAGGATCCCTGCAAATGACGAAGCCCGGAAGACGATTAGACCAGAAAGTGCAATGCGCGCATGGGGCAACTAAAGCGCTGGATAGCGCTTTAGGGACAACGAGCCTGACGTTTCGGTTGAACGCTTGCTTCTGCGCCCATCGTTGTTTTTAGGTTTAACCGTATTCTGAGTTTCCTCGTTCATTGGGACCCTTCTATTTTTAGCCATGATTGGCTACCTCCGTGTCTCATTGTAAGGTAAAATTACAAACATCTTTTAGAGTGTGTACAGCGAGCAAGTTCGTCTACTCCTTGCGTACCTCGTACGTTTGTTTACCCCTCAAATGCACCCACACGCCTTTGTTTCTCCCCGACCTCAACGCTGGACGGCGCGCGCTTGGCTGACTTGTCATCGCGCATTCCCTGTGTGTTCTTCATGTTGCCCTTTGATTGGTATTTTCTTCCTTGCGTTTGTATGCGCCAAAGACACTTTTTAGAACACTTTCTCGCCGTATACCCCATTTCAATATTTACAAGCCCTCAGCGCAGTGTTCGATCTCCTCAGCCCACCACGCGCATGTTCGTCGCCTCGGAATTCGAGCAAATCACAGGCACGAGCACTGAAAATGGAACCTGCCAGGATCCTTTTTTTTTTTCTGTGGCTGGCCCCGCGCATCTAATCATCGTTCCACGACCAATTAGGTTGCAGGATCAGCCGGAAAGGACGTCGAAGGACAAATCACAAAACAAAAGCAAAAGTGTGAACATAATATTTAGCCAGGCCCTGTGTCTCTAAGCTGTCTCAGTGGCTAGAGTGGAGAGGATACTATATCTACGTCCGCAAATTATTGACCCAACTCAACCGTGTGTCGTTATCGGGTTGTTGTCCGAGGTATAAACTCTGCTCGCAGGCTTAGCATTTTCTAAAGCCTGAAGAAAGTAAGTCTCTCAGCGAAGCGTCGACTGCCGCTCAGGCTTCCAAGAGGTTCCTATCTGGAGAGCAACGAAGCATTTTGTCATTGGTATCGCTATCTAACGGGGTCAGTTAATTCAGCTATGCTCTGGCTTTAACCGATGTTCAGTGACAGCTGTCAGAGAGATATAGCCCTTCACTTACCACGCTGGGTGTCTTGTAGTCGTCAGAAACGCCGTAGAGGGGCGCCACCGGACCTGTCTTTCCCGACCAAGGACCCCAGTAGTCGAAGGTAGTGGCTGTCATGAAATCAACGTACCTAGATGACAGAAAAAAAGTATACGTATTAATAGGACATCCGGTGTGCTTCAAAAAAGGATGAAACAATATTGGGTTAGAATATTACTAGCTCTCTATTGCTTAGTGGGGTACAAGATGACGAACACTTTGGCATAAGAAGCCTGCAACTGGATGTTCGCTGTGAAATTGTAAAAATAAAAACGGACATTTTTATTTTCTGAAAAGGTTTTTGCTCGTTCCACACTCCGATGGGCGCGTCACAGCCAAATGTTATTCTATCACTGCCTCACTAATAAGATTGTGCATAACTAGTATTGCATGTTTCGTTGCGTCGAATACACCAAGTAGATTTCCTAGGTTGTTGTCGCTCTTGGATGATGAATACAGTTTTAATGCGAAAGCATTAACTGTCCCATGAAAAGCCTAGCCCCGCTCTCGATGGAGCGCAGTGAAGGAAAAATTTGATGGATTTCGGCTTCGGTCTCATTGGCTGGCCCGCGTCATAGCTTCAAGGAACGAGGCTCTCATTGGCCACTGCGCGTCAGTTTCAACGACCGTCCCCTCATGGCGCTGCCTGTTAGCGCCGCCAGCGCGTCGGTAACACGAAGCGCCTGGCCGCCGAGCGAGGCAGCGGCTCCACGCCCGAGGTAACCGCGGCGAGGAGAGCGCACTCAGCCTTCCACGCAAGTACACCGCAGACGTACTAAGGGATCGGGAGAACAACATGCGTGCTTTCGCATTCACCACTCATAAGAAGTGTTTAAATGTACTTCGAGCCTTTCTAAACTTCTAGTGCTTCACTGCATTGCAGTTGTTTTTATGTTGTCGAGTCTCAAAATTTTGATATATTGTATAAAATAACTTTTTCCCTTTTCTCAAATGCCAGAGCTTTTTTTTTTTTTTTTTTTTTTTTGCTTGTTTTCATTTTGCGCATTTTTTGTAATCGTGTACGGCGCTCATAAATTTACGAAGCTTAGGCGCTTCACAAACGTTAATTTGATTTTGCATTGTAATGCATGCTATTAGTTTTCAAAGCGAGAGCTGACAGGTTCTGTTTTCTGTCCTTACTTTGAGATTTCGGCCAAGTTGTAGCCATCTGTCATGACTGCTTTAATAACGCTGAGCTGCGCTCCCAACGATAGGTCGGCTTTGTCAAAGGCTTCCTTCATTTCCTGCACAGAAACAAAGAGGGAAAAAAAATCGTTGAGCCATGCTGAACATTTTAAAGAAAACACACACAAAAAGTCCAAATGAAACATAAAGGAAAGAAGCAATTTGAAATCTTCATGAAATTCAGCTTGCCCTCCTTTAGTGCGCTTTGAATCGTATGGTGGTCAGCGAACTCTACTGAAGCTTTTTTTTTTTTTTTCCGGCTTCTATTTTAGTACGGGAGACAGTTTTTAGAAGCTTTTTTATAATAGACTGATGTCACTAGCCAGTTTGGTTAATCCACCGCTGCCGCAATGCATCGAGGGAACTTTAGTCCTTCTGCACGTGCGACAACCTCGCAGGAGCTCTGCGCATGAAAGAAAATAAAAAAAAAAAAAAAAAAAAAAAAACCTCTGCGGATGAGAGCACTAGACATCACTAACCGTCTCGGGCACTGCTGGTTGTCACCTGTGAGCTAAAGTTAAAGCGGCGTCAGGCATGCGCACAACGCTCGGTGAGATCGGTGAATTGTAGTCAATAGGAACTTTTGGCACACCGTTAGCGTGTTCGGCGTACCGCACTGCCGGAGCCTTTGAAGCGCGCTTTTAAACGCGCGCCCCGGGATATATCGTGACCGTGCACCCCATGGGGTGCGCGCTTAAAAGCATGCTTCAAAGCACAGGTCGTACGGTACGCGGAACAAGATGACGGTTTGCTTAAAGTCCCCATTGTCAGGGTGAGAACAGCATGGCGCGTCTGTTTAAAATTAACGCCCCGGCCTTCAGCACGCGCACGTTGCCTTCCGTCGTGCTTTGGCTGCGCGTGCACGCTCGAAGCTCACAAGATGCCGAAGCGTTGTGGAAGGTGAGAAGCTCGTGCTGCAGGCGGGTCAACACAAAAAGAGCCCTAAAACGTCCTACACGGGTCTTTATCCGCTTCTCCTCGTTTCTCTTCTTTCCAATTCCTCTTACTCTACCCAGGTTGGGCTGTATATTCAACTGTCGCGCCCCCAGCGCCCAGATTGAGAACTACGCCGATGGGGACAGCAATAGCGTAGTAGATGATTTGCTTGTGTTTCGAAGTAGCGCTCGACCCACGTAGCGAACGTTGGGTCAGCGTTTGGTTGTAGCCCGTGTTTAATCAGTGTAGACAAAAGTTCCTATTGACTCAATACATGAGCGCACGTTGCGCTCATGTATTTTTTACCCCATCTTTCTCGACTGTGGGCGGAGAAAACAACTGGGCGCGAGCAGCGCCGAATTTTCGCCCTATGCACAATCAATCAAAAAAAAGTAAAGAAAAGTACCTTGTGTTGGGTTAACACAAAAATCCGGGGAAAACAAGCTGGACATAGCGCCCTCCATAGTTCTATCTTCTTGACAACATAACTATCGCTAAATTATTCGAGCATCAAGGAGAACACTGGGAAAATGCCATGCGGCACTCTCTCGCCTTCCTTGTGTAAAAAGATTCGAGGTAAATTCGCCAAAAGGAGGCACTGAGGAACGCGCGTGCAACATGCCATTTGTTTTAAGCGCTGTTTATACTCCGACGTTGAGCGCAGTGAACGCAGCGTAGCGCAGAACGCGCGCCCTTCATTGGCCGGTGGCGAGGAACTCGATTTCTGCGACCAATCAGTATCTGTGTTCGCTGCGCTACGCCGCGCCAGTCGACGTTACGTTGGAGTATAAACGTACCTTTAGGCTTTTGCTTCGGAACAGTTATTGCTGCACACGCCAGGGTCGACGTGCAGCGCGTGGAACTACACCCACAGCATGCTCCTTGCGGCTTGGGTAATTTGGAAACTGACTATGCGGAGAGAAACTTAGGGAGAGGAGGAGATGGAAGCGCGCAGCCAACACCACAGCGTCGAGCTCTGATTGGATCGAGTAGTGAGTAGACGGAAAGGCTAGCTGCCCTTGTCTTTACCCACTGTACGAACGCGTTCGGCCTGGAGACACTGCGCGAGGAGCAGACGGCACGCTCGCTCCGATTGGAGCGAGACAGTGGTATAGAAAAAAAGGCATCTAGCCTTTGCGTCTGCCCAATATCCTTCCAACCAGAGCCCGGCGCTCCAACTTCCCCGGGCATTCTTTATCTCCTCCTCTTCCTTAATTCCCCCGCGTACACTTCGTTTCACATTAGGGACTTTTAGCAAACCGTTCCCATGTTCTGCGTACCGCACTATCGAAGCCTTCGAAGCATGCTTTTAAGCGTGCACCCGGGTGATACCGTGACCGCGGGACGCCCGCCTAAAAGGCCCCGGCAGAGCGATACACGGAACAGGGTAACGGTTTGCTAAAAGTCCCTACTCTGACCGCAGTTAACGCTATGATCCGACGAAGCAAGCACACCAATAACTCACACAAAAAAAAAACGCGCAGGATCACGCTGCACTCACTGTGCGTGCTAGGTTCAGGCGGTGAAAGTAAACGCCAAAGGAAGACGAACACCATGACGATACACTCTTGGAGATGCTCGATCGATTCCATCGGATCGTAGCCTTGGTTGCGGTCAAACTTCATGTGAAACAAAGTACAGCATTATTTTTTTTATTTTTTTTTTTTGGCGAGCAGTTGGTTTGTCGTGAAAAATCACCGACCTTGAGCAGCTGCACGAAGTTTTCCTTGTCTTGTGCACCGGGGTCGTTCCAGGAGAGGACCAGACCGTTCAGCTTGTGCGACTTGCAGAACTTGAGCGCGCTTTTCACGAACGTCTTCCGCTCGTCCTCGAAGCCCGCTGCTGTGCTGAACGCAAACCCATGCTTTTGAATTACGGCAGCGAGTACCTTGAGGCCTTCCTTCTTCTTGACTAGATTGGCAAACTGCTTGAGGTTACCTGCGTTGGAGGTATGAAAGCACATAGTCTCCAGTAAAGCTCTTTTCCAGTAAAGCGCTTTTCCACTTATTTTGAGTGTTTCTGCGAAACACTCAAAATAAGGTCATCATGTCCATGTCCTATTTCTGGTACTCGTCGCGGCTACATATCTAAAGGCTCAGGACCCAGTTTTTGTGATCTCTTATGACAATAGAAAGTACTGGCACGCTGACGACATCTATAACGTGGCACTGGAATTGCATTTCCCTATAGCGAAGGTTTTTGCGGTACTTACTAGATTAGACGTACAACTATCTTTTAGAAAAGGTCGTTACAACATCGTCAAACGGTTTTTAAACCGAAAAATGGGGCAGGCGAAAGCGAGGACGGAGTCACAGTAAGAACATGAAATTTCTTGTGCGCGCTGCAGGGGGAGTATGGCCGTTAGGGTACAGAAATGAGCCAAATACAAAACTTACATTTATTTACCCAATAAAAAGTTTACACGCTTAATTTATTTTACAGCTAGTGGAGGTGTTACCGTCTAATCGTGTAATTCTGCTCGCTCCTTATAGAATCGGACACGTTCCGCCGTGGTCAAAGGGGCGAGGATAAGGATTGGGATCCCTCTGTCATGCCTGCCCGGGTCTCTTCGCGCCATTTTTGGACCCTACGTGCAACCGTAAAATTTCTTCAACAAATTACATGGTTGTAAGCCTTGTAACTCCTGATGAGCACCGGTTTGAGTTCCCTGGATTATATGGATCTCACTCTGCCTACTATGGCAGAGTGAGACCCCTCAAAAGCGACCATTCCCGCTCGGATGGACAAGCGTGCTACCGAACTACGCCTCTGTGAACGCCGCGTGTGAAGCTAAATTTAGCTCCGATTGCGTCATGCGTGGCCCAGCAACGGCGCCATCTGCGCACGACACATGCGTGCTTGAGTAAGGCAAATTTGGGGGTTTTGCGTGCCAAACCAACGACGGGCATTTGGCACGCCCCAGCGGAGGACTGAGGATTAATTTGAACCATCTGGGGATCTTTTGACGTAGAACCGAAAGCTCGGTTACACGGCGTCTTCTCCGCATTAAGCCTCCGTCAGATTGCGGGCACCTCGGCCGGGATTCGAACCCGCCACGTGGGGATCCGTAGGCCGGCGCTCTCGCCTCGGAGCCTCCGAGGCGGCTGCGTGGTTGCGTAATCACAACGATTCCAAAGGCGCGCGGGTAGTACGGCCACAAAGATATAAGCGACATTGGTGGTACATGTTTCCGTTAGATATGGTTTTAGCAAGCGACCCCCTCCTGACCAATATAAAAGACGCTTCACGTCAATAAAAAGTAAAAGAAATAAGGATGTTCGATAAGATAGGGAATTCACGCAAAATGCAGGTGTTCCCCGCTTATCCGACAGATGGCGCCAGTGTGTTCTCTCGTCTAAAGTCCCTCTATGTTTTTAAAAAATATCCAGGGACGTTACTCTCGTCCAGAGCCGTATATTGGGAGAGTTTGACCAGTTTATGATCTCTCCGCCGTAACGCCCCCCTCCTGAGTGAGCCAATCAGCCCGCGGAGCAGAGTGAGAGGCGTGAGGGCATGCGCGTGAACTCGCGGCTGCTCCCAGCTGTGCGGGAAGGCCACCATTTTCATTCGTTCGTCCGTTGGAATGCATAGAATCGACTTCCAAATTTCGCTTTTTTTTTCCCCCTTTTATTTCGCTGGCTCTGGCAAGAGAATGGTATAATGTTATTCCTTGGTGGGTTAAAAAGCTAATAAATGAACTTTTATTCAGGCGAAAAAGAAGTCGGCCTGTAGCAGACGCCTCGTAGACTCAACAGTGTTCTGCGCCAAACGCGTGTTGCGTCAAAATGTCGGTCGTTTCCTCTTTGCTTCCTCCTTCCTCTGTCGCTCCTTCGGCGCTCTCCCCTTTCCTTCACTTTTCTCATCTCCAGGGCCTTCGTCACCACGCCTAGAGGTTTTAACGCTTAGAGGTTTTAAGGCTTAAGGTCGTAAGCAGTCGTAAGTGTGAAGGCCCGTTCACACTCTTGCAACCGAGTACGACCGAGAGAGACCAGACCGGTTTTTAAGCTTCTTGCGACCTCTTAGGACCGGATGCGCTACAGCGGAGCTGGTCTTAAGAGATCGCAAGAGGCTTAAAAGCCGGTCGGGTCTCTCTCGGTCGTACTCGGTTGCAAGAGTGTGAACAGACCTTGAGAACCATCCTTTAAACATAACTAGGGTTCTATGTTTTCGGTAAATACTGATAAAACCCAAAAATTTACCCCCCTCCCACTGGTTTTATCAGGCGAGGGAAAAAGAAACCGAATTAGAGTTTCCATTTAGTAAGAACAAAAGTTGCACGGGCCGTAATTCTCATACACAGCATCTTTATTATAGTCTTAGGCCGGAGTACAGCTCCCCACTGAACTGACTGCGAGGCTGCTCCTTTGTCCAGTGGCCACAACCCTTATCTCGTTCCTTTCTCTTTATTGGTACCGCGGCTTTTTCTAAGTATTCGGCTCGCACGTATGTTCCCTGAGGGTTAGGAAACCGGTTGCCTGTCTGTGATATTCTGAAACGAAATCTCCAATAAACACCACTATTTGTTAGAAATGAAAATAAAATATATACCAAAAGCACCGACTTTCTGAGAAAAAAAAAGTAAAACCCGAAAAACAACAACGACCCCAATGTCGATGATATACAAGCCCCCCGAACACGAACCCGAAACGTAACCTTTTAACCAACGTAACCCTATTCATTTTGCAATCCCTGACGTCCACCGTAGCTGGCTTTTTTTTATCCGGAGAGAGTTTTGTTTTTTCTTGACCACCCTATTTTTAGCAATTTTGGAAAATCTTTTGCTGAAACACCCGGTATTATACATGTAATCAATGCAACGAGCAATGCGAGTGTGTCGTTGCTTTAATGAACACACAGTTTCAGCAGAAAAAAAAACAAAAGACTGTTCTTTTTCACACAATCGGCGCATGATACCGTCTTCCTTGGCAAAACACACTTAAAGAAGTCAAGAAAACTAATTACTGGGGTTTTGAGTAAAGGACTTTCAAGAGTATGTTATTTGGTTACACTCGGGGACAACTTTCTGGGCAGTGCGGTCAAAGGTGCCAGAGAGCACCTTGAGCGTCGTAAGGGCTATTCACGCGTTCTCCTCCTGTCTTCAAAAAAGACGAAGAAAGGGGCTGGTCTACTAACTTTGTAATGGACCTTTTCCGAGGAGCGTTCTGCGCACGTGCGAGCGCCCGATGCCAAGCGGTGGAAGTCGGCACGTTAATCGAGAAAATTCGGAAAGAGGCTGTGGATCAGCGAGTAGAACACGTGATTGCACGCATACATATAATTGTGTTACACAAAAAAAGAAAGTGGACGGAAAGAAAAACACGACGTTTAGGTGGACGCCACGGATGTCCCCGCGTTGGGCACGCGCCGCAGCTCAGAGAGTAAAGAAACTGGTAGCGTAGCTCCCATAATCAATCGGGTCACGTCCTCGATTTTTAGTTCGTGCAGCCACCGCCTGGTGCCGTCGGTATTTGGAAAAGGTCAATTGGAACCTACCACTGACCTTATCTCACGTTTTTAAACTTAGTGCTGGCAGTTCACTTCGAGCGACATGGGAGTGCACCAACAAATCTGGTTAAAAAATTTGAAACCGAATTCTGCTGCGCCCTTCCGAGATCTTACGGTGCAGAGGATGCGTATACATTGTTAATAGAGTGTTTTAGTAGATCGTTCAGTCACTCCCGCTGTGCTATCCGCTAGCCGCTACGACCTCCGCTATAGACCGACACGCGGAGCGGCTCTGTTTACCAACACCTCCGGACGGCCGCGCAGGCGCGGTAGCTATGTGGGCAAAAGCGACCCGGTTCTCTGTGATTTCGCCATTGCGTTGTGTGGCGTGCGCTCGCTGTTGACGTTGTAGGGACGCTTCTAGCTTTATTTGTGAGTCGTGTTTCCTGGCAACGTGTGTCGTATGCTATGCCCGACTATTTGAGCTCGCTACCCGAGACTGAACGGCGGCGGTATCGAAAGAAACTGTGCGTGGACGGCGTTGCCTACGAGGATCCGTACGCCGTAAACAAGGCCTGCTGGACTTCCGACGTGAAGTTGCTGCCACCGAAGTCGACGGTGCACGTCGTCGTTTATTTAGTTCTTTCGCCCGGTAGTTCACGGCCGACACGGAGCAGGCGTACAAGTCTCTCGAGGCCTACGATTACTTCGAGTCGGTTTCCGCACTGCCGGCGGAATCAGCAGACTGTGGGTCTGCAGAAGTGTATTTATTAATTTAATAAATACACACAGCGTCTTCCAGTCAAGGTATGCTATTTTTCCTACTCTCACGACCACAAGGCATGACAACCAGTAACGCTTTGTCCGTTCTGCAGTCTTGGCGGTAACACGTTACAAGTAACGGCGTTTCCAGGAACGTGTTACTTTTTTCAGTAACGTAGTAACCTACTCGTTACTTTTTCGACACAGTAACGAGTAACGTACTTACGTTACTATTTCAAGTAACGTAGTTACGTTACTCGTTACTACAATTACTCTTCAATTGTTTCCGTGTTTTAGGTGTCAACCCATGTCTTTCTTTGTGTTTTCCCTCGTGAGTATTTAGGTGAAACCGTAAAAAGATATAAAGTAATTTTGTCCAGTTTCTGCATGAACATAATGTTTCTTGATATATGAGCTTATGCATACCTGTATCCTCAAAATCGTAAGACGTGTTACATCATAATTTAAAAGGTAACGCAGAAGTAACGTGCGTTACTTTTTATCGGTGGCGATAACGCGTTCCTTTTATTTTTAGGCAACGTAGCTTAGTAACGCGTACCTTTGATTTGCAAGTAACGAGTAACGTATTTCGTTACTTTTTTTCGGTAACGCCTACAACACTGCCGTTCTGTCGCCGATCCCCTTCTGCTGGGTAGCACGGCGTAGCGAGCCCCCGACGAGCGCTTGGCCGGTGCTTTGTGCGCGAACACCGTGGGAACAAAATCCGGGTGGTCTCGATCAGACCACGGTTTTCCTGCACATAAGCAAGCCTCGGGACAGAGATTGAAATAGAAGCCGCACTTGCTCCAAGAAAGTGCTTGCCGCACAAACGGTCGTTCGCGCGAGGCGACCATAATTTTCGATCCACGGATATTATCCACCTTCTATGCCTTTCAGAGTCTGTTGGGAGCTTGTAGAAGCTCACTCCGCTACTTTTCTTGTACTTTTCAGTGAGATTAACGGCCACACAGCTTCGCGGCATGCTGAAATGCTATGACGCCCATGCGAAACGTGCGCCCTTTTGCCCACACCCCCCGGCTCCGGCGCGATCGCAGCGCCGCCGCAGCGCCGTGACGTCAAGCCCGTGTGTCGGTCTATATGTAGCGTAGCGAAACTACCATTTTAAGTTTTAGTATACGTTCGCAACCCGCTACGGATTACAACGTTACGAGAGCTAACGCAACGCCACTAGCGGCTCTTTCGGACATTAGGGCTCGCGTAAAACAGATTTGAAAAGCAATCCTTCGCAATTGTTTTTATTAACGTCGTTATCTTAAAGGGACCATGAAATGACCTTTTTACTTTTTCCAGATAACTTTTACATTAAACCGTCAATGTTCACTGAATGCCGAACAGGCATCCGTTTTCGTCTCGGTTTATTAACTTTTACACAAAAAATTATTGAAATATCGACTTTTTCATTCTCTCCAACTGACCGCAAAAGAAGCCGTGACGTAGACCGTTTCCGGAACCGGAAGTTCTCTCGGCAGTAGGAGAATGGGAGTGTTAGCGGCAACGAGTTGGGGTGCGCCGGTAGGTTTTACTGCGCTGATGTCACCGACGTATTTCCTGAATCGGCGCCTCTCATCGCCGCATCGCAGCTGAGCGAAATTCAATGAGATATGTTGCGCTACAGCGACAGCATGGGACTAGTCCCATACGCCGGTATGCCTGTTGGGAAGTGCAGCGAGTCTTGTCACCACCCCGTCATTGTTGGCAGAAGGGCCGGCCCGTGTCAGTCGTTTGCAAAGCGACGTAGACGGCGTTTTTCGCGGCCTCGGAGATGCAGGAGCGAGCCGACGTTAAAAAAGATACGTTTGAACTACGAGTGTCAGCAAGAGCCACGTAAATACCTGTTTACACTCGGAGCGGACGCGCGCGCTTGATGGAAGTCTTGTATTCGCGCTGTTGGTAAGCGCTTCGGGACCGTTCTTTTACGATTGCAACTCGATACTGACGCGACACTCCGCAAAGAAAGGTTGGACCGGGGTCGACAGTGACGTGCAGTCTGTCAGAATAAAAATGGCATACCAATAACAAAGTGTACATACCGTGTTACGAAGGCAATCCATACGGCGTTTATTTCAGCTCTATATCACACAAAACAAGAAGATAGAATCGACGAGAGTCCCTTTTCGACGAGTGTTCGTCAACACTGCCTCGGAAAACAAGGGGAAGAGATTGACCTCCTCACCTCTTAATCTAGAATTGAGGTCAGTGATCAAACTATAATACGGGAAGGGTCCACAAGGGTCGCGCGGGCATATTCCATTTAGCACGCTAGCCGGTCGTAGGCAGACGGTCTTGCGACGAAGCAAAGCAGCGCCGAGTCGGAATGCCTGCTAGGCCTATACGCTTCGTCGGAGTCGGTGAATCCAGCGTTCTTGTTCGTCGTGGTCTGTTTTAAGTACTGTTTTCTTGCTGCTTGAAGTCGGCACGCGCGGGAAGAACACGTAGAAAAATAAACGTTCAGTCAGTCAGAGTTTTGAGAGGAAGGAAAACAAAGAAAATAAATGTTCGTCGGTCGCCGTCACCCAAGTAACTGGCGGCCCTGCCCTACTGCGCACGCGCAGTAGTTGCTTTGTTTACCACACGATAGATGGCACTTGGCTCTCAGCATTATCAAATTTGGCAATTTTCGCCACACATCTCTAATTATGCTACAAAATGTGGATCTGAATATTATTTAACAAAACTTTTAGGAAACATTCGCCGGCTATTTATTGTTTACGATCGCGGTGCTGGTGAGGTAGGCTCTTACCCAATAGGCGATGTGGATTCGGCTGACGTGCACCGATTCTGCGTATGCATCGTAGTGAACAGGCGAAGGAAGGAAGGTGCAAAAGAGTCCAGTTTTCTTTTAAAAGTTCTATAGCAAATAATTTTTTTGGGCTCCCTATTTTTGTGTTTTTGTGTTTCTTTTCACACCTTTTACGACGTGCGGTGGATGAAACTCGATTTTAAAATCATTTCATGGTCCCTTTAATAAAATATTGTTTTTTTTTTTTGAATAACGTGCTAATCGTTGCTTCTTTTGTAAGTAGGTGACTATTATGCTTAACTGTCGGCCAAGCTGTCCAAGCCAATCCGATATGAGTCAAGTGCCAAAGCCACCGAGAAAAATCTTCAAAAATAAAGGACAACCACTGTGGCTCATCTGTTGCGTCGTTCACCGAAAATGAAGCGCCACAGAGATCCCTCATATCCGCCTGCTCGCTCCGCTTCCTTAGTCGGTTTTGTCTTCACGACAAAGCGGCCGAGCAGGGGGCTGCACCTTTCGCTCACAACACCAAAAACTGCGAAGCTTTTTTTTTTTTTTTTCTCCTTTCCGTGGCCGCGTTTAGTATGTCCGCCATGAATCGCTACCTGTTGCAGTCGCGGAACGGCTTTGTCGCGGGTACTTCTCGCAGCAGCAAGGTATAATCCACCCCTTAGAACCACGATCGCGAAACGCACAGACCGAGTAGACGCGGCGTGGCGGCCATCTTGAACAGCGTCCCTCGCTGGGTCTCCCTCATCTCACCAAGACTCGTTCTCGCGAGAGCCACGCTAGTACGCCGCGCTACGCCCCTCGCTATTTTCGCCCGCTAGCGCGCCTCCGCTAGCCTCCGCAGCTCCGCAATGTTTCCGCTAGCAGCGCGCATGCGCAGTAGCGTCGTCGCTCTAGCGTATAGCGTAGCGGGAGAGCCAAAACGATCTACTAAAACTCTCTAATGTTTACTTGTCTTCCATTGTAGAGCTTATAAATGACACAGCAGCATTTGATTCGAACCCCGGTGAACTCTCAAACAGGATTCTGTTGTATCTCTGGGTCACGTAATGGGTTCCGACACCGCGCGGATTTACAAGAAAGCCGACAAACGCGCCTTACCATTTCCATGTTGAAAACAGCGCGAATAACACACGGACAATGAGGAGAGAACACACAGGACGAGGCGCTGTCCTGTGTGTTCTCGCCTCCTTGTCCGTCTGTTATTCGCGCTGTTTTTCAATATGGATTCATACCAACTAGCAAAACTTTCGATGCTAGGTAAGTTTTACCATTTCCCCCGTTGACAGCGAGATCGTTCCAAGGGTCGGCAACGACAACTTTGGACCCGTCAATGATGGCTGTGTTGTAGACCATGTGCGTGCACGGCGCAATGTCCAGTTGCTGCGGCGTGCTCTTGCCGTGGCCCTTCCGGTAGAAGGACCAGCTGTTCCAGTAGCAGATGACCTTCTTGTTCTCGGAGGTTTCTGTCAGAAGTACAAGTGCAGGTGTTGTAAGTGGTGGCGCGAACTCTGCATGCCTTACTGCTCTCAACTTACCGGAGAGTGCCACGCAGCAGTGGGTCATCAAGGCTAAAAGCGTCAGCCACTTCATCTTATCTGAAAATCATGAGTAGAGGTTTCATCAAAATGTTTCGATTACCAAGTACACAGATCTTAGGGGAAACAAGAAATGGTATTTTTAAAAGCAGCGACGCAGGAATTCTACAGGGCTAGGTTTACTCTTTGTGAAACTAGTCTCGCGCAAGCATGGTCTTGCCTTACAACCTGCATTGCAGCAATGAAGTGTTTTCAGTATACTGAAGAGTTCGCTGCCATGATTGTTGGTGCAAGAGAGCGGCGGGATTGTATCCAGCTTCCTCGGAGTGCACATCGCCTGTCGTCGTCCCTATGGCTCATGGTTGCACGGAACACCTTTCTTGAGACGTGTTCCTTTAGCGCTAAACGAAGGAAGGCAACTGCTGTGTTTTTTCATCGATGGAACTGTAACAAGGACTCATTACATTTTCTAGTGAATGGCAAATGAGAAGACGCTTTTGGCCGCAATGACAGCGTGTAGTAGAATAAACCAGAATACGACATAATTTACAGGCGAAATGTTCATCACGCGTATTCTTTGTCGTGTCTTAAACCAATGGGTTGTTATAGTGTCATGGGAACTTAACAAGTACAGTTTGTTTCGGACTAAAGTTCGCACCCGGTGCATGTCCCCACACCGTGCATTGTCCGCATCCGGTGCTGAGTGGACACACAAATCTCGGAGCTCACTTAGACAAATGTCTGCTTTCTTAGCCCACAAAGAAGCTCGTATCGTACATAATTACTGACATACTCCGTTATTCACAAAATTCTTCACGTCTTGTCATAATGAACGATCTTGGCAAACGAACTTCCTGTTTAGTTCGTACCTGTAGTTAGTCCGCACCGCGTAAAATTTCTACTTTCAAACATCTAAAACCAGCGGACCAGAGTGCGCAAAATACGGTAGTGCGCTTTCTATGTGGGCGTTATCACTTGGTATAATGCCCGTGCACGGCCGTTATCTGAACCCTCGGCGTATTTGTGCGTAGCGCGGGGAGGATACCTATAATAATAATGATAATAATAATAATAATAATAATAATAATAAACCGCATTTCCACGCATAGTCTGAACCACAAGACAAGGATACATAAAATAACTGACAACACGAAACAAAGTCTAAACTTTTCAATGTTAAGATTGGTCTCACGGTTTAGACTCTGATGTCTCCTAATCAGTTTGCCTGCATAATTTTTCCTCTTGCAATAATAACATATCTGACAAAGCACGTGACAATTTATTGCTGTTTGAGCATGCAACGAGTTTGCGTTTAATCAATGCGCCGTTCCTTATTTTTTTCACCGTTTCATTAAGGGTTTAGTTCAATAGTAGAAAAGCGTATCACTGTACGATCATTTGATGTGGTGAAAGTAACAACGTAGAGGGTGTCCTCAAGCGGCGATTACTTTCTACATAGCCGAATTGTCGAATGCTTAATTTATATCGAACACAATAACATGATTACAAATATAGAATTATCAGGGTTGAAACGAGCTCTCGAGCAAATGGGCAACACAAACACGTACTACACGTTCAAAACCCTCTGTGTTTGTGTTGTTTCTTAAAGAATCACGGACAAGGACTTCGGGACATTGTGTTTTTCTCGTGGAAAATAACGATTTTGAGTTTCATAATGATCTTTTCATTTATGTGCTTGCTATATGATTCCGGGCTATTAGAATCATCGGAATCATTACGATTCTCAGTGATTGTGGGCAGAAATGCAAGATATTGCATAAGTTGCCCGCAAGACCCAATAAATATATATATATATATAGAGAGAGAGAAAGAGAGAGAGAGTTTTTTTTTTTTTTTTTATTCTTACACATTTGTTTAAAAAAAATCGTGAAATTTAGACTAATGCGGTTTGTGCAGCTGGGTTATACGGCCAGGCGGACATTATGTGGGTGGCTAATCTTTGCGATAAGTCGGCTAATTAATTATAATTTGTTAACTAACTTTTTAGTTAGCGGAAGTAGACATATGGTCTTAATTAGCAACTTGTAGAGCATCATCGAAAACCACTAAATCAACCATTTTTAGAATGATATAACGCCGGGGAAGCATTTTATAGCGCTCTGTAAAAACGCTCCATTTGGACGCGTTTCTAGATTTCGGTTTCTTATCGGAGCGCATCACCGCGCCCGCGGTCCTGCTCCCCAGTGGCTGAGACGCGCAACACACGTGCGCCCTACTTCCCTCCATTCTACGCGGGAGGCGAGGAGGTGGCTTCGCGCCGCGACCACCGGGAAGCAGGATCGCGGGCGCGTAGATGCGCTCCGATAAGAAACCAAAATCTAGAAACGCGTCCAAATGGAGCGTTTTTACAGAAGGCTGTAAAATGCTTCCCCGGCGTTAAATCATTCCAAAAATGGTGGATTTAGTGGTTTTCGATGATGCTCTACAAGTTTCTAATTAAGACCATATGTCTATTTCAGCTAATTAAAAATTAAGTAACGAATTTTAATTAATTAGCCGACTTATCGCAAAGGTTAGCCACCCACATAATATCCGCCTGGCCGTATAGCCCACCTGCACGAACCGCACTACTGTAGCTTTCACGTTTTTTTTTTAACAATTGTGTAAGAATAAAAAAAACACCATACATATATATATATATATATATGATGGGCAAAGGAATAAAACGCATGCATTCCTGAGGTTAAAATTAACACAAATTAATGAAGTATTATTACCGTAATTAGCCTTCAGGGGAATGTAAAGACTCTCTCTAATCAATTTTGAAGATGTTTTGCTTCGGTGCGAATGTTTCCGAATCCCCTCAGGAATGCCCGTTATCTTATACTCTTCATTACAGTTAAATCGTATGAATCCGCTAATTCCAAGTCTTCTGAATTGCTCCAACGCGTGCTCCCCTTGGCTTACCTGACGGTGGGATCCGAAAGGGTGAACGAAAGTGTTTCGCTCCGAGTGCGAGAACGCGCTATATATGGAGGCTTTGCTTAAATGTGTCTCGAGGTCAGGCTATATTTTTCATTATCAGGAAAGTGCTGATAGGCCAGCTAACACGGTACCTCAACAATGCAGCAGAACATTTAGTGTGGGAAAGCTCGAGGACTTCTGGGAAGGTCGTGGGCGTTCGTATGAACATAGCAGATGGAGAAGTCCGGATATCTCGAACTTACTGGGTTGGCCGAAGGCCACGTGGTATTGACCCTGTAATGGCCATCTTATCAATCGGAACCTCTATGCGGCCGAGGGTGAAGCTGAACGGCAACCACCGTGCAACCAACGTGCACAAGGGAGCAAGTCGGGCGGAGGTTGAGTCGTCCTTTGGAAACCCTCAAGTGGCGTAAATGCTGGACAAGGAAGTTGAGATAAGCTGTTTGCTCGGACTTAGTTTATCGGCGTCAGTATCGATAAGTGTGTCACACCACGAAGCAAGATATAACCATAGAAATAAGATAAAAAAATAGAGACAAGCGCGTGAAACTTCAACACTGTGGAAACCCGGGACCGAGTTTTGCATGATCTTGTAATATACGGGCATATATAGCAACTGTGATATATCGGTTTTTATTAAGGTTTAAACCTTTCAACAGCATATCTTGGCGTTTTGTTTGTGTTCACCATCTACCGCGACGTCTAACTCCGAGCGTGGCCAGAAGCAATAGGTTGTGCAAGTTCGTCTGCCCCTTGCTCATCTCCTGCGATTGTGTACCCTTCCGATGCGCCCACGTGCTTTTGTTTGCCCCCGACGTCAACCACTGACTGCGCTCGCTTGGTTGCCTCGTCACTGTGCGTTCAATGCGAGTTCTCCAAGTTGTCTTCTGATTGGCGTACTCCTATATGCGTTCGGATGCGCCGAAGACGCGTTTTGGAACACTCGCTCGCCGTATTGGCAAAACGACACGCAAACGTATAGACTGAAATGCAATGTCACGACCCATTAGTGAGTCTTAGTATTGCGTTTACGAGCAAACGCAACCGCTGTGCGTTTGCGTTAGCATTGCGTTCTCCAGGCTGCGCATGAGCGAAACAGCGATGCGCCCATCCAAGGCCGCAGTTTGGGCTCCGCGCATGGGCAGTGTGGAACGCGCAACGCTAACGCAAACGCACAGGGCTTGCGTTCGCTCGTATACGTAATACTAAAACTCACTATTCTTCGAGCTTGACTGTATCAATTGGCAGTAGGGAGTTTTAGAATAGCGCACGCTAAAGCTTTCCGTACGCAAAGAATTGCGTCATCGCCACTGCGCTCGCGCCGAACGCTAACCACGTGCCTACGCAAAGGGTCTTCGCGCTCCTCCAAGGAGAATTCATGATGAGAAGTTGGCTACAACAAAGACGAGCACAATTAAAAAATGGTGGCTCCCAGGACCATGGCTGTGGCTGCCTGGCGGCGGCATCCTCGTTACTGCTATACTTAATACGGAACGACACTGCACTCGGTTTGGCAACGATCACCGGCAACTTGATGCCGGTGATCGTTGCGAGACCTGTCTTGCCGAGGCGACAAGACCTATCTTGCCGAAGCGACGAAAGCGAACACGAGCGGTCGACCTCTCGCGTCGCGTTCTCATGTTTAAACAAATTTAAAATGATACTCTAGACCAGGGGTGGCCAAACCGCGGCTCGCGAGCCGCATGCGGCTCTTTGCTAGTCCAAGTGCGGCTCGCGGATCCCTCGTGAGGGGACCCCCCCCCCCTTCTTCGCCCCTTTCCGCGTCTTCCCAGGAAAAAAAAACAAAGAAAGGATTTCAGAATAAAGCATACTGCAGCTTGCAGTTTGACAGCCTTGTGTTCCCATACGTACAACCGTACAGCCTTGTGCTCCCATACGTACAGTCAGACTCTGAAAAAAATTAAGTTCCCTCCCCCCCCCCCCCCCCCCCCCCCCCGCGGCTCTTAGAAGTTTCGTGGTTTTGCTTGCGGCTCTTAAGCCAGGTCAGGCTGGCCACCCCTGCTCTAGACCAAAAAAAAAAAAAAAAAAAAAAAAAACTTGCTTTTACTCAAGTTACAGCATTTTGTATGTGAAATACAAATTGACTGTATCTTGGCGGCGTTGCAAGTGCGAAACGCTTAGGCTTTTGCGTCACGGCGGAAAAGCGCTACTCTAAAACTCTCTTAGCGTAGCGTGGGCTAACGAAAGCGCTAAATGTAGCGCTGGCGCGCGCTAAAATAGCGTACACTATTCTACAGCTCCCTATAGTAACACACAAAATGAAACACAGGAAGCGCTTTCTGGCCCAGTTTGATTCACTCCGTTGGATCGCAGCCCTGGGTAACACTCAGACTTAAATTATAAGAAAGTATAGAAGTAGGCGCACAAACAACAACGACCCTGTTCATCAACACGACATAGCCGGTAAATCGGATCTTCGGCGATCCCAGCCATTTTTAGCCAAACAGCAATTTCACCAAAATGTCACGATGAGTCGGTGTTGCTCTGAGTGAAACAAGGTTGATATTATGAAGATTCCTGCATGCGGGCAGTGTTGCTTGCTCGACTAGTGAGTCGATGCCTTTATCGTCCGGTGCATTCGCCTTAGTTGGCACATTCGAAAATGAAATTTGTAGCCCGCCGTCAAGATAGGTCATAATAGGGTGCCCTATGTCATAGCTGCTGTGAAATCTGTAACCGCCGTCAAACTAAGCCAGCTATTTTACTTTATGTATTCGAGAGAGAGAGAGAGGCAGGTATCTTCAACTCTGTTCTATTTAATGGTAAACTAGAAAGAGAAAAAAAAAGAAGACAAAGGAGTTTGTTACTAACCGAAACAAACACAGTGCCCTGGGTTTAGTTATTTCGTTGTAAACCAGAGCTTATCAGAGGTCTCAAACTATGATTATCTAGGGCTATTAATAACCAAACTTTTAAGACGGAATGAACATTTTGACTATGCTACATTTAAACTATCTGGAAATGGTTTTATATAAAAAAAAATGAAACTTCAAAATATTTTACTTTGGAGACCAGGTTAGTAGCTTTTGAAATTATTATGCTGCCAATTTAGGAACGTAGGAACATTATTTCCGACCTTTAACGAATCAAACACCACAAAGTGAAACAAATAAAAATAAAGGGGCTAGGTTTCCATTTAACACGGATGAGTGGACGTTACTGATGTAGCCCATAGACCTAACTTTTATTACTGGCGGAAAACAAATTGTGTACGCAGGCTAATCTTTCTGCAGAAAATTATTCATGACCATTATATAATTAATCTTGGTAATTAGATAAGGTTTTTTCACGGCTACTTTGTAAGAAAACGGCATCTAGATTCCTCATAGCAATACATAAAGTGGTTTAAATATTTTCCCCACAAGTGGTACAGAGCGAAATGGGCCTGCTCGTGATACCGTATCTTACATAAACTGTTTCTGTATTTATTATTTCCCCTCTACGCTGGTCGGATAATGTCTTCGGCTTTTCTGACTATGCTATCGTGCTATGTAAATGTGTTACCTTACTGTTGTGTACCCACCTGCCAGAATCCTCTTCTGAGGTTGGCACCAATCTTAAATAAATTAATACAGATATCGAAGTACCTTAAACAACACTATATTTTGGCTAAAGGATTTATTATTCAGACGACTAAAAATTAAAGAAATTACAGAAATTACGGAAAACCGAGGCCTATGAAATACACTTTTGACGAAAAGTTTACATTGCTACGTGCAGCGCCGATTTTTTTCGTCCATTTTAGATCGAGCCTGGTGACTTGGGTCACCCTATATTTGTACCAAAGGAATGAAACAAAGCAAATCAACTAGCTGTCTCAGCAAGTGCGTTTTAGTTCAATGAAATTGGGAACCGAAAACCTATCGGCGACTAAATCATGATTTTATTCACCTTGATTGTTTCTGTCCTGATGGTTGGATTAGCTAAAAAAGAAAAAAAGTTCTGGAAACTGGTTGAGTTAGCAAGAATCATTAGTTCCGCTTAGTTCAACGGAATAAAATAACGACAGTCAAGCAGTAGACAAAAACGCCGTTCGAGGAATTGACTGTTCTTTCATATTTCAAGATCACATTGTTTTATTCACAAATCTAAAATCGTAGCATGCATCTGCTAAGACATGAATTCTTGCGAAGCGGCGGTAAGAAGGGAAGCTCTTTTCCACCACTTGCAGAAATGTCGTCTTTGTCCGACGCAAGGATGGCGACGCCACCGAGATTCATTGTTTTTGCAAACGCAGCCTAGAAAAAAAAACACATAAAAAACAAGGTAAGCATTTTTTTTCCTTAAGGAATCGAAGTTAAACCAAAAATGTAACGTTTTACGCACCTTTGCTCTTACGCTTTCAGCGCTTTCAGCGCTTTAATATAGCTAACTCAGCTCCCCTGGTCAACGGCGTGCGCTGCCTGAACGTCATTGTTGTAGTTAAAAGAGCACAAACACCCCCGAACTTTTTTTTTTAATTTTTGCCAGGCTATTTATTATGGTGTCGGAATATTACCCAATTAATATTTTGCTACTCACGTATTTTTTTAATAAAGCCGAAAAACGCAACTGCTCGAAACTGAAACCGAAACCCTCGCACTGCACGGAGAAGTGGAGAGGAGAGAGTGATTGGCGGAAGTGACGTGGCTACACCCGATTGTGGTATTGTTTTTTATGTTTTTTTTTTGTTTTTGTTTTTTTCGCGCGCAGCAGACGAAGTGCGTTGTGGGATCCGTTCGCCGTCCGATTCCTCTGCAGTTATGTTTGTTCCGCTCGCTGTTCTGTTCTTCAAGATGAGTTGTTTTGTACATTCAAATGTTAGCAATTAGTATTGAGTGCCCGTGGTGGGAATTCCCCTCATCGGCTCCGAAAAGAATACTCCCAAGATGTTGCGTGAAGAGCTGCATCGCATGTCCTGGATCTGAAAGGGGCATTGTGCGGCAGAGTGCACAAGTTTCCGAAAGATCAACGGGTCGGGATCAATGCCTTGCTGCAATTCCTGTAGAACAGTTACAGGAACCTCGGAACCCCCGAAAGCGGACGCTACCCGATTCATATGCTCCTTGCATTTTCTGGAAAGTGACTACATTGAGTTCGCAGGTGTCAAAAATGGAATCCCATACCATTTAGTTCAGCGACGTATCGTCCACACCAACCGTTTTTTTTTTTTTCGGTGATAATTGTAAAAAAAGAAATGTGAACATCGCAAATTCTTTGACAGACAAAAAACAACAACA